TTGCAAAAATAAGCGGAAATATTGCTGACGGACCCAAAAAAGAAGACGCCGGGGGGGGGGGGGGGAGAACAGCTCAAAACCCACCTGGAGAACCTCCCACACCCTTAATCTCATTCACTGGCCCTATGTTCTCACCTCACTGCTCCATCACTACAGGCTGCAGCCACAAGGGGGCCAAAGCCAGGCCGATCACAGTCAAGTTCACAAATAGCCAGAGACATGTACCTACAGGAAGAACACAGCTGTCACGTAGAGCCTGCAAACCAAGGGACCTGCCTGGGGTTGCCCTGCAATGATCCTACCCCATTCCCCTGACTGGGAGTGCACATTACCTGGTCTCAGGGTCCACTTTGACCATGCGATGCCGGTTGCGCTGCCGGTCCCAGTATTCATCTAGCCGGTGTGATGACAGGTGCATGACATGGCAGGCAAGGCGGCTTGGGGTGCTAGGGTCAGGAGTGACCATGATGCTGAAGCAGTGCATCTCAGCTCGACCTCCTGCAGACACTACATGGGCAGTAAGACCTGGCCGAGGATCCTGTGGGCCACCTGGGGTGCCAATGCCCCACACTGCCACAGCACGCACAGAAGAGATGTGGTTACAAACAGCTGTGAGTGCGTGGGCTGATCCTGTGGTGGTGGGAAGTGCCAGGACACAGACAGTAGTGTCCTCACTACATGTGATGACGATGTCAGTCAGGCCAGGCCCCTCACTGCCAGGATCCAAGTAATCAGGATGCTCCAAGCTGGGTACCTCAAATTCAGGGCCCAGGGTGATGGTGCCCACACGTTTTACACATGTAATTTCTCGGCCATGGAGACCCTCTCGGAGAATCACGTGTGGCCGAGTGCAGCCACCTAGAGCTCGGTATAGCATGACATCCCCATCTTTGAGGTAAGCGAAGGCCATGGCTGCCTCAGTATCAGAGAAGGCCCAGGAGCGATGACCCCCACCACAGTTGACAATATGCAACTTCTCATGGGACCGGGGGCTCCACACTACAAATTCATTGGCATGGAAACCCAGGATGACCATGCTCCCATCAGGCACCATGCGGAGCCCAGCCACCCAGTTCATGCCTCGACAGGTCTTCTGCCTTAGGACTGGCTGGAGCTTGCCACCTTGCACAAAGAGCTGGTAGTAGCTGCCATCCCGCCCTGTGCTGTATACATAGCCACCATGGCAGGTAACTGAGGTCACACCCTGCTTCCCATGCAGAGAATGGAGGGTGGACACTGGGCCTAACCCAGTTGCAACATTCTCAGCCCCACCACTGCCACTGCCTGCTCCAGGTGCCTCAGGTCCAGTAATCGCCTTGATTCCAACCCTAGGATCCTTGAACAAACTTGGTCTGGCAGGGAATAGCAACACAGAGCCTCGGCGGTCCCCACAGACCAGGAAGTCACCTGGAGGCAGGAAGGCACTACATGTGTGCCATCTCTGCTTGCTTGGGGGTAGCAAGTACCGGCAACGTTCCTTGACAAAGATCGCTTTGCCAGAGGGTGCAGCTGAGATTTCCAAGCAAGCTACTACCCCACCAGGGCCTGAGGCCAGCAACAGAAGCTCCTCATAGCCACGCAGGGCCCAGCTTAGACTATGTACCTTCCCACTGAAGAGGTTCTGGTCCACAGCAGCAGTGGGAGTGTTGATGGGGACAACCTTGACACTACCCTCTCCGTTGGCCAAGGCACAAAGTCCAAAGCCCTCTGGCCCAGGAGCTGCTTCCAGCAGGCAGTAAGACTGAAAGTGGTTATCTTCTAGCAGCTGCTCCCAGCACTTGACCTCGAGATCATAGAGGTACAGGACCCCTGCATCAGTCACTGCCAGTACTCGCCAAGAACCAGCCAGAGTCACAGCCTTGAGGGTACCTGGCCGGTTAGGGGACTTGAAACAGAGAGCCGAGACCCCCAAGCCAGGGTACCCACGCCCTACCAGGTGCCACAGCCGAATGCCGGAGTCATCACCCCCAGTAATCACCCAGGCCTGCCTCTCATGAGTGGCTATGGCCCGGATCCCACGGCCCTGGTGACCCCGAAAGGCTTGAAGGATCTCACCTTCATGGCTCCATACCAAACAGACACAGTCCTCTCCTGCGCTGATTAGATAATTCTCTAAGAGCTTCACCTGCCACACACGGGAACTGTGTCCAAAGCAGTGCCCAATATTCTGCACCCGACCCCCAGGCACCCGCAGGTCGCCAACCTTCCAGATACGGACACTTCGATCTTCTGAAGCAGTTGCCAGCAGACCCTTGCTTTCCAGGTATGACATACTAAAGATGACACCCACATGTCCACTGACCCGCCGGTCAGGTGCCACAGGTTTGTTGTCTGTTAAAGCAGTTGCTGGGTACCAGACTAGGAGCTGGTTAGAAACAGCACCTGCCACTATGGTCAGTTCTTTCCAGGTGTCTCCAATCAGGCAAGCTGAGGAGAGGGTGCACCTGTCTGTGCAGGATACATCCTGCAACATGCACCCTATCACAGGGTCATACAGCACCACTGAGTTGTGGCCCAGGGCCAAGGCTACATTGCCCTCAAGCCAGCGTACATCCCAGATCCAGTCAGACATGTTCCATAGGCCAGATCTCCAGAGTTCCCGAAGATGGCTCTGACCCCAACTAATTTTCACAATTCGGAGACCCTTGCTCCCAAACACAGCTATCATGGCCTCTGAGTCAAGGTCTCCTTTGGGCTCTGGTCGCACCCGGAACCCATGTATAAGATAGTGGCCAAGCAGGTTCTGCACTCGCCTCATCAGCCGCAGATGCCCTCCAAAGTCCAAGGTGTACACCAGCATATCAGGCCCCTCACCTAGACAGAGGTAAAGAGCAGCATCAGAACCACTCATCTCTTTTATCTCTCTTTATTGCTCTCTCTCTCATTCTCTCTCTCTCTGAGGGGGTCTCTATGTAGCCCTGGCTGACCTTAAACTTACTATATAGAACAGGCTGGCCTTGAACCCACAGAGATCCTCTTGCTTTGAGTGCTGGAATTAAAGGGGTGTGCCACCACGCCCAGGTCCAGTTACCATTTTTTTTTTTTTCTGTATGCATGTAACGTACCATGTACGTGCAATGCCCAAGGAGGCCTGAAGAGGGCAGGGTATCAGATACCCTGGAAATGGAGTTGCTGCTATGTGGGTGCTGGTAATGGAACCCAGGTCCTCTGCAATAGCACCCAGTACTCTTAACCATTGAGCCATCTCTCCAGCCCCTCACCTAACTCTTTTTATTTATTTATTTTATGTGCATTGCCTGTGTGTAGGTAAGTGCACTTGTGTAGTGCAATGCCCTCGGAGGTCAGAGAGGCTGTTGGGTCCCCTGGGACTGGAGTTACAGACAGTTGTTAGCTGCCATGTGGATGCTGGGATTTGAACCCGGGTCTTCTGCAAGAACAACCAGTGTTCTTAACCACTGAGCCATCTCTCAAGCCCCAGCCATCACCTCTTAACTGGGATGACAGTAAAAAGCACTCCAACTACTCCCAGCCTGCAATTTCAATCTTCCATTCAGTAAACATGTACTAGGCATGGACTATAAATCAGTACTGAACTAAATGCTGGGACAGCAAGACATAGACCCTGTTCCTCTGGAATAGGGAGACATTACATAATATCACATAAACATATACAATTACAGTTTTGGTAAAGTTCCAAGAAAAAGTTACATTAAGTCACTTTAAAAACATAAAATGGGCTATAGGCTGGGGGTGGTGGCACATGCCTTTAATCCCAGCACTCGGGGCAGAGGCAGGAGGATCTCTGAGTTTGAGGCCAACTTGGTCTACATAGTGAGTTCTAGGCCAGCTGGGGTTACAGGGAGACTCTCTCAAAAAACAAAAATGGGGGGAGCACTTAGGGGTTAAGAGCACTGGGTGCTCTGGCAGAGGACCCAGGTTCAGTCCCAGTACCCACATGGTGGCTGACAACTGTTCCTCGAGATCTAGGGAATCCGATGCCCTCTTCTGGCCTCTGCAAGCATTGCATGTATATTGTACTTTATACACAAAAAATAAAAAGAAAGAAACCCACAAAATAAAAACTGGCTGTGATCAACCACACTTGTAATTCCAGTAGTTGGAGGATCAAGAGTTCAAGATCACCCTTGACTTTGACTACACAAGAGAATCTGAGGCCAGCCTGGGCTACATGAGAGCCTGTCTCCCTCCTCCCCCCTCCCCCCCCAAATATATATATCAAAAAATAAAACACAAAATGAACTGGACATGGTGGCCTACATCTGTAATCCCAGTACTTGGGAGCTGAGACAGAAGGATCACATGTCTGACATCAGCTTGAGCTACATTAGTGAGACTCTGTATTTAAAAAAAAAAAAAAGAGAAAGAAAGAAAGAAAGAAAACCTTTACAGGGTCTTCCTCACTGACCTCAGAGAGAAAGATCCCATCAAAGCCTAAACAATCTAGCTTCTGGTCACTTCTCCAGCTTTTCCTCCCAGGCCACTTCTGCTCCAGCCTCACAATATACATTCCTCATTCTCCCAGCCTCAAGGCTTCTGATATGTCACCTCGCCACCAGGAGCTCACCCCTCCCTTCAAGTTCACTCTTGTGTTTCCTGGGTTTCTAGGTTAGCTCTCCCCTCTTCCAGAGAGTTTAGCTCACTGAGGCAACAAAAGACTCCTAGCGCCCCCACGCCGTATTAACTCTTACTAACTCCTGACATTACCCCTAACCACACGACCCTCTTGGGGCTGATGGTGGCTAACTCAAAGCCCGACAATCAGTGCTACCTAGGGACTCTTATAAAACTTAACACCCACCATCACCAATGGCTAGTGGCTTCGGATCAGGCCTTACTGTTCCCAGGACTCTGACACCTCAGATCTCAGGCCTGTGCAACCAGACACTAAAACATGTGATTACCAACCCAATGGTCGGAGGACCCCAACCATCTCTCGGAAGGGACCTCAGCCCCAGCCTTTCCAGGTACTGCACTATTCAGAAAGTCTCCTGCGCAATTTTTGACCTTACCCTCCCTTCAGGCCCATCATCTTTGGAGGAGGAGCCTCATCCTACCCCCAGAGGCCACACCCCTGCCACGCCCCCTGGGACAACCCAGTCTTTGCCTCCCAGTACATCTCGTCCTGAGTTCATTTGGGGGTCCACAACCCCTCTCCCAACACTGACCGACTGCGTCTCTGCCCACCCTTTCCATGCTGGCTGCAATTTACGAAGGACTGCCATCGCCACCTTAGACTTTTGTCTCTCAAGCCCCACCCTCCTCAAGTGGCCAACGTTCCCGCCACCTCCAGGGCTGCTTTCTCATCTCCCACCGTCCCTTGGCCCCTGCTCCTCCTAGGACATCCTTTGTTTCTTCCCCACTACATGCCTAGCGCCAACCAAGGCTCACCCGCTAACAGCCGGTCCCCCACGCACTCCAGACCCGTGACCGGGAGGAGTATGAGCTCGGAGGTTGCCCGCGGCCAGACATAATCTCCGAGAGAGTCCATGACGGCGCTCGAGCCTCGGCAGCTGCCACGGCTAACAAGGCAGCTACGCTCTCGCGAGAACCAGCCCTTCTGGCCGCCGCCGCCGCCGCCGAGCCCCTAGCTACAGGTAGCAGAGACCAGGGCCGACCTTCCGCGGACGTCCAATGACCGCCCTCGACCTCACGCGATCGGCTCCCAATTGGCGGAG